CCAGTGATGGATTTTTTTAAAGATCACTTTATATAATTAATCAGACATTGCTGACTAATTCTACACAAAGGCATGTATGTGTGCACAAAATAAAAATATCTTTGAAATTAAAATATGTTTGGACTGACTAGGAATTAAGTTTTTAATTAGAAGTTTTTTCTATAAGAACAATATGCTGTTTAGAAAATTTTGGAAAACGCAAACTAAATAATACAGAAACTAAAATTTTAAGATTTGATTGTAGTTACATATAAATGCATACATTTTATTGCTTTAAGATTTGGAATCACACTCTAAATATTGTGATATCCAGTTCATTCTTTATGAATATACATTCATAGGATTTTCATGTGTGTATTGGTTGTATAGCATCCCATCATATGTTAATAGTGTAATTTATTTTATGAATTCTCTATTCCAAAATATTCAGGTGGCTTTGACACTATAGTATTGTGCTAATTGTCCTAGTGCAAATAATGCAATTTAAATAGTCCTTTGGATAAACCGGAAGGAGTAAAATTTCTATGACAGGGACTATATATATTTTCCATATGTCTTCTCAAATTCTCCTCCAGAAAAGTTTTATTACTTATTATTATCATCAGACATATGGCTAGTTTCTTTTTCTTGAATCCCTGATGAATGTAGACATCATACTTTTAAATCGCTTTGCGACTTTGATATATGAAATATTGTCTCACCATTATGTGATTTCTTAGTTTTAAGTATTTGTGGAGATTGAGGTGTTTTTGTTTGTTTCTCTTGTTTGTTTGCTTTTCCTAAATTCATGAGGAATTTGCATTTCTCCTTTTATAAACTGCCTGTTCATGCTCTATGGTTATGTGGTTCTCAGGGCAGTGCCCTTTTTCTATGAAAAATCTCTTTAATATGTGGCAAGAATCACTCCTCTTCTCCCTCTGTTTGCCTTGTACTTTTTCTGTCTTTCTTAATGTGGAATTTTAAATGATTTTGAATCTATTAGTAGGTTCTGTATAATTTTTCTCTTTTGTTTTATATTTATAAAGAGATATTTCTATTTCAAAATCATAGAAATATGCAAATGAATCTTTACTTCTGGATTTTTTGAAATGTCACAATTCTCACTTATTAAATTGTTACATGATCTGAAGACTTTTTCTTTTTCTTTCTTTCTTTTTTTTTTTGCAGTTTTGACAAGGGCTGGGTTTGAACCCACCACCTCCGGTATATGAGCCCAGTGCCTACTCCTTGAACCTTGCATTTCTGTATTTCTACCATGCTTCATTTCTCTTGCTAATTCGTTACTGGTACTGTGCTCATGTACTTACTGCATTTTATAGTATGTTATATTCTCATCTAAAGCTCACAGGAAAATATAAGGTACTCCTCTGTGTAATTTTCTTTTTTTTGTTTTTGTTTTGTTTTGTTTTGTTTTTGGTTGGGTCTGGGTTTGAACCTGCCACCTCAGGCATATGGGGCTGGCGCCTTACTCCTTTGAGCCACAGGTGCCACCCCCTCTGTGTAATTTTCAACTTCAAAATTTACTGTGTTCACGCATATATTTTATAAAAACTTAAAAATATTTTGGCATGTTTCACCAAAAAAAGAGTGCTTTGGAATTTTTATTTTAGCATCATTTATAGTAAAATATTATTTAGGGAGAATTAACTATCAGGAAAACTATATATTTTTGTAAAATTTTTATACTTTTCTCTAAACTATTTTGTAGGGTTCTTCATCTAATAATGTACACACGTGCTTATGATATTTTCCTATGTACTGTGTATTTTCTATGATATTAATTCACATTCTTATTAATATGAAAACATATCATTAAGCAATTATTCAAAAATTTTCCACAATTTTAATAGGGAATTTTTTGCTCCCTTATCTCTTTAGAGAGTGTACTGTGGAAATAGTTTTGCATTAATTGTTTTACCCTTTTGAGCTCTTATTTTTTTAAATTTTATTTATTTATTTATTTATTGAGACAGAGTATCACAGTTGCCTTGGGTAGCATGCCATGGCATCATAGCTCACAGCAACCTCAACCTCTGGGCTCAAGTGATCCTCCTGCCTCAGCCTCTTGAGTAGGTGAGACTAGAGGAACCACCCATACCACCTGGCTAATTTTTTTACTTTTAGTAGAGATGGGGTCTCACTCTTGCTTGGGCTGGTCTCTAACTCCTGAGTGCAAGCAATCTACCCACCTCAGCCTCCCAATGTGTTAAGATTACAGGAATGAGCCACCGTGCCAGGCTTTGAGCTCTCTTATTTTAAAAAGAAACTCCTTAAGGGTGGTGCCTGTGGCTCAAAGGAGTAGGGCGCTGACCCCATCAGTCAGAGGTGGTGAATACAAACCCAGCCCTGGCCAAAATCTGCAAAATAAATAGAAAGGAACTCTTAACATTTTTGTTAATTTTATTTTATTTTAAATATGAACAAAAGTCATTAACTCATCAGATGATTTTAATACATAAAAATATAATAACAATATGGATAAATTGATCACTATTGACACTATTATGGGGTGGCACCTGTGGCTCAACAAGTAGGGTGCCAGCCCCATATACCAGGGGTGGTGGGTTCAAGCCCAGCCCTGGCTAAAATTGCAAAAAAATATAATAATAATAATAATAAAATAAAATACTTTAATAAAAAAAGACAATATTATGAACATTAATTGCCTTATGATATGATACAGCATTTATCTGCCTAAGTATTTGATAACTTATGGCACAATGGTTTTCGTATTCGACCCCAAATTCCTAAATTAATTGTGTGATTTTTGTATATCAAATATCTCATGTTGCTTTTTGTATTTTAGGTTGGCGGGGTGGTTTGGCCATGAACTCAGCACAAGGTTTAAAATGGATAACAGTAAGTGTATTCAACTTTACCTCACAAGTCATTTTATTTTAACTTGATTTCAATTTCATCTGTCTTTGTATTATATGTGATATACATGGCCCATGGAGAGTGTACTTTGAAAATGTCACTGTGGATTCTTAAAATAAGAAATGACATTTCCAGGGTGTAAGACTAAGTGTCTATAGATTTTAGCACGACTTTGAGTCTATCCCTTTGTAGGGGGATGAAAGGCAATGACGTCTAAAACCCAGCACATGTGGACTGGTCAGAGCCCGTCAATAGGGCTTGCCCCACACACCTGGCAGCGAGGACAGGAGGAAATGTGGTGCTTGGGGCCAGACCGGGAGAGACTCGGGGGCCAGCCTAACTTTGCTGCTAATAGTTTTGTGATGCTGCACGAGTTACATCACTGTTTTTCTTTTCCACATATCTAATATCAATAATAGCACTGATTTAGGGGTTTGGTTAAAGGGTGAGTCATATTCAAACTGTAAACCAAGCAGAACCTTAGCAAAACTTTAATAAATATTAGTTTTATGCATCTTTTCCCCTAAATATCCTCCTTCTGTCACTTTTGCTACCTGCCAAGGAATATAGCAATCCAATGAGCATGGTACTCGTGAAATGCCCTACTTCTTTCTCCTGAGTGATTCTATTTCCTGATGACACAAAGCATCACAGGTGTTTTGAGAATTCAACATAACTTTATCCTACAGATTGCTTCAAACTCCAAGATAATGTTGTATATATACAGATGCTCCTCTACTTATGATGGAATTATGTCCGGATTAATACATTGTAAATTGAAAATATCCTAAGTCAAAAATGCATTTAATACACCTAACCTAATGATCACCATAGCTTAGCCTAGTCTACCTTAAATATACTCTGAACACTTACATTAGTCTACAGGTGGTCAGAATCATCTAACAGAAAACACGCTTTATAAAAAAAAAGTGTTGAATACCTCAAGTAATTTACTAAATACAGTACTGAAAGTGGAAAACAGAACCATTGTATGGATACTTGAAATGTAGTTTCTGATGAGTGAAAAATGCTTTCCCGTTAAAAAATTGAAAAAATTTTAAGTCCAATCACTATAGGTGGAGAATCATCTACGTTTGGATTTGTGACATTCACATTGCCAGATGGGCATTCCAGTCAAATCAGGAAACCTGTATAGTATCTTGTCTGTTGAAATATCATATTTTGCCATGTATAATGTGCTCCCATGTATAAAGCACACCCATGTTTTTGGCCCAAATTTTCAGGAAAAAAGTCTTTTAATTTTTTAATTCAAATCCAAAGTTTAATGCTAGCAGTGTACAAAAACCATTTCAATATTTTCCAAGAGATTTCCCAATAATTTTTGTAAAAATATCAGCAAGATTGCTAGCTCCTGCCTAAGTATGCAAAGAGAAATATGTCACTCTCCATTGGCCAAAAATGCTTTTTTTATTTTTTGCAAATCTTTCATAAGTTTAACAGAATTGATTACTGTATTCCATGATGTTACTTTGCATAGGGATATTGTTATTGCTTTCTAGAGTTATATTTTTAATTCATAAGCATAAATAAAAGAATTAGAAACTTTTAAATAGATGTGGAATTAGTACCACCCATGTATAATGTGTATCCTCATTTTCCCTCAAAAATTTGGACCAAAAAAATGCACATTACACATGGCAAAAGGCAGTAATGGTTCTGTTAGTATGCAAGTTAATTAAATTTTTTGAGATGAGTTTTCTTATATGTAAATAAAGGAATAAAATTATTTTAATTGAATTAAACATTTTCTATGAAGGACAAGATAGGAAATGTTTTAGGCTTTTAGGCTACACAGTCCCTGCAGCAAATACTCAGCTCTCTCACTGTGTTGCTAACGCAGCCATAGATGACACACTACTGAATAACTGTAGCTATGTTCCTATAAAACTGCATTTAGAAAAACAGGGAGTGGGTCAAAGTTGGCCTACAGGCCATAGTTTGTCAAGCCTTGGATTCAATTAATATTTAAAAAGCCATAATGTTTTAACATTCTTTTAGTCAGTCTTAGCTTTAACTTGATCTGGATGTAGACATCTTAACTCTATTGGATTTGACTTATTACAATTTAATCTACTTAATTCTAATTGGGATAGTATTTGCTATTAATTTACCTTTTATATATCATACCCAGGCAGATCTTTTATTTAAATGTCCCTGCCATTCTTTTCCTGATAGAAGCCACTTGACCTAATAATCTTAGCACTAAAACTCACTTTCATCATTCATCATTCATTTTTCTGACTTTTGGTTACATTACAGTCATATGCCATTCCAATTTTGGAGTTCTCTCTCACTGATGTGGTTTTGTAATATTATGGAAAAGCAAAGCATGGGACGGAACAAGGAATGCTGCCTAGAGAATGGGAACACAGAGGAGAAGGTCCAGGAAAACTTCCAGAAGACGTCATTTTATCTTGTCTCTAAAGGTTCTAGTGTTCAATACGCGTCTAAGAAGGCGAGGACAGGGAGATGGGAACTGCTGAAGGGTCACATGTCAGTATTTTGGTTGCACTGAGCTTCTCTTAACTATCTCAGACGTCCCGCCTTGGAGTAAAAGTTTAAGTCTTACTCTTTTACTCTCTATCACTTTACTATCTTTATGGACACTTTTTAAAGTACATTCTATAAAAATGACATGGTATTAATTTTTCAGAACTGAAATTAATCCCTGGGGCCAGTGGGTTTCGAATTTCCAATCCTCCCATTTTGTTGGTTTGTTCTCTTCAAGCTAGTTTAGAGGTAAGTGATCTATGTTTCAGACTTCCCACATCTTTATCTTTTCTCTCACGCTGTGACACTTTGTAGTACTTTTTCTGCAAAATAGCCAAATTATAAATGTGTGCTATGCATGAACAATGAATGGACAAAAGGTAGCATTCTCTTTAGGAAAGTAGTGATGTGGTGATTGTGTTCTTTATTTATATCACCAACCCTGAGCACAACCGCAGTGCTTGGCACATTGGTGACACACAATCAAAATTAAATGGAACTCAGGGAGATACATTTTTGTTCCATTTACAATCTATGTAAATTTGAATAAGTTATTTAACCTTCTTTTGGTCTCACTATAAACTAACTAAGCATGCAATATTTTGTTCTTTCTTAATCCATTCATTCAACATGAATTTATTGAGAAAACATTATGGGTGTGTATGTTGTGATTACTAGAGACACTGTTTCTTCTAGCTCATTGTGAATCAAAGAACAAAGTGCTCTATGTCAAAGCAGAGGAAAACTTACTTTAAAGAGAAAAAGACTGACCAATCAGAGTCAAACAAAGCTTGAGTAAATTTGCCTTATGAGTAGTGTGGGGTTTGTTTGTTTGTTTGTTTACTAAAGCCTCTATGCCCTATATTCATATGTAATTTCTATAATTACTGACTCAATATTTTCCTTTAAATTTGCTCATATTTTTACTTAATTTAGTCTCATTCTGAAATTAATATCTAGAAAATAAGTTGGTACATATATCTATATGTGAAATAGATATACATATCTAGAAAATTAAACCAATTCCTTAGATACTATTAATTAGGGTTAGACTAAATTTATTCAAGTAAATATAATATGTTGCTTAATGATTATATACCTTATAGTTAATATAGTAATATACATATGAGGTATATATTTTATATATGTATATTTACATAAAGTATATTTTAAGAAAATATACTATACTTCTAACAGAGGCTAGTTAAACAAACATAGGTATCTAGCTATTCAAATGAGAATTTGAATTTTTTTCTTTAATACAAGCTAAAATAATCTAGTTTATGATACTTCAAGAAATTCTGTGATAGAGGATTCCAGCAGCAAATGAGTAACTGGAAAAGACTTTCAGTTTTTTTTACAAATCTAAAATTCTAGAATTCTGCCAACCATTATAGCAGTTTCTCATTCTGGCCACTGGATGGTAGTGTCAAGTTCCTCTGTTTTTAATGCAACTTCGCCGTTAGATAATGATAAGTGTTCTCTTTTCATTCCATTCAGGTTTAAAGCGCGCCTACTCAGTTTTGACCACTAGATGGCGCCTGTGCTGTTTTCACTTCTTGGCAGATTTTTTTTTTTTTTTAATTTGGAAAACATACCCAGTAATGAGATTTTTCAGCCAGTGATACATGTTTTTTAATCTTTTTGAGTAAAAATATACTTAGTAAATCATATAATGATATTAGACTTTTTTTATTCTATGCCTTCAGAATAAAACCAAAATTTCCTGCTTTCTTTGTAAGTTTTATATCAAGGTTAAGATCAATTACAAACAAAAAGCCCTAAGACATACCTATCTATGGAAGAACTAGTATTTTAAAAGTTTTCCTCCGATTGACATTATCTATCAAATAACTTCTCAGACATATCTGGAAATTTCCTGTTAACACCCATTTTGGTATGCTCTCTGCAATGGGCTGGCTGGTTTTTCTTCCCGTGTTCAACCTTTCACTGCGGGACAGGAGGCCGATTCTTATTTTACCTACCACTTTATTTTCCTTCCACACTGTATTACAGTCATCTAGACAAAATTTTTATTTTCATTTAGAATCTGCACTCATTTACATTTTTCCCCTTTAATATCTGAATGTAAAACAAACAAAAGCCACAAGAAGAAGGGTGTCAACTTTTCAGAGCTTCTGATCACTTAAATATTTCTCTGGCTTCCAAGCCTATATTCTAAATAAAATATTTCATGAATTCAGCCTTATGTTTGTCAAAGTGTTTTTCAAAATTCTTCCTCCCCATTATAAATTGAAATTTTTTAAATTATAAAATAATGCATTTAATTGCTTCCCGTTCTGTATCCAACTGTTAAAATGTCCTTTCTATGAAGCATCAGTGAATTTACCATGTTATTATTTACCTTATCAATTTAAAACAGTTCATTGCAATGTAGGAGATAGGGGGCTGAAGTCTGAATAAATGAAAGAAATAAAGGCATGAGTCAAACTGCCAGTCATTATTCTTTTCTTTCAAAAAATATTCTTCATAGTCAAATACCAACTGGAGGAGAGATTCTCTATACTTGTGAATCAATTGCATGTAAATTGCCCCTCAGATTTTCAATGCAATGATTTTGTTAAAGACATTAATATTGTTTTGCTTATACTTGTCTGAATATGAGATTGATTGATATTAAAAATAGCATCTTAAAATTGGTTTCAAATGGTCCTTTTCTTTGTATTATTGGATGCTAATCATTTATACAATAATCTTTTAAATATTTTGGTCAAGGAAAGGAGCATGAGGCTGGAACACAGGAGGCAAGTACCCTGGCCCTCATTGGACCTTGCCAAAGGCCTAAGTTTGACCTCACCCAAGCAACTGCTATTCTAGAATTTATATGCCTCAATTTTTAAATGAAGACGCATGCACTAGTTACTTCAGAAATCCTCTCAATCTTCCAATTGCTTATTTGAAATTAAATATACATTGTATTTTGAAAGCTCATATTTATATGTAGCAAGAAGTAGACAATTTTTACATATGAGTTCATTATGAAGGAAATAACTTCAAAATGCAAAATTAGAGCATTCAACTTTAAAAATGCATGGAGAGTCAAAAGACTCAGAACACAAAAATGCACTATATGTTTTTTCACAAAGTTTTGAGGAAGTCAATTCTATGAATTTAAAATAAAAATAGGGCAATTAAAAACTTATATTTATTTTTCCTATTTAATTTTATCTAACTTCTCTAGCTTCATCTTTATTTTACTCAGCAGGAAAAAATAAGCCAAGTAGTTAAAATTCTGCCAAGAATTCTCTTACAAGCTGAATATTTTTCACTTGCTCTTAGCCAAAAGGCCAAGAAGTGATAAGAAGCTGAATGTTTCTCAAACTACACTTCTCATTTTTTCTAATTTTCAAATGGTCCTTTTCTCAATAGGGAAAGCATAAAAATTGACATACAAAAAATAAAATAGGATTCTTGCTATTAGTCCCTCTTAATTTTTTTATGTGAGGCCTCAGACAAGACTTGTACCCCCATGAGAAGAATCCAAGATATCCTTGGAATGTAGCTGCCCTTCATGTGGTTGTAATGCGGAAAATAATTTTATATCTGAAAGTTGAATTTCCACATTAAAAATTGAAAACTTCATACAAAAAAATAGGTTTCTAATTACTAAGAGAAATCTGCAGGGGCAAGACCTTTTACTCCCTTGAAAAATGTATAGACTTAAGTACTGTTCCCCCATGTCTTCCTAACCCGTGAATGCAAATGAGCTATCATTAAACTATGTCACACATCTCCTCCACCTGCATCTTATGGCACAGCAAGCAGAACCAGAAAATTGCCTAGAATTACTTGTTAATTAGTATTTCCTAGCATATTACTAATCTCTAGAAAGTAGCTTGGACAGACAGCTCCCATATGTTTATTTATTTATTTTTGCAGTTTTTAGCTGGGGCCAGGTTTGAACCTGCCACCTCCAGTATATGGGGTTGGAGCCCTACTCCTTGAGCCACAGACGCCACTCCACATATTTTTATTCCAAATCTTATAGCCAAAGCACCAGTGACCTGTGCCTTGCCTGTCCCAGCGCTGTGAGAATGATGATTTTTGGCCTTGATCCACAAGTTGGCTGGCTTCCCTTGAAGCCTCAAGTGTGCCAAGTCTACCTACATTTCATTTTACACCAAAAAATGAAGAGATACCTCCTACCAAATTCCATGTAAATTCAGGTTGCCTGAGTCCTGATGCAATATTGTTTGCACCCAAGAACTCAGTGGCTTATGAAAAATATACCAGCCAAAGCCAAGCACACTGGCTCATGCCCATAATGCTAGCACTTCGGGAGGCTGAGGCAGATGGATTGCCTGAACTCAGGATTTCATGACCAGCCTGAGCAAGAGAAAGACTATATCTCTAAAAACAGCCAGGAGTTGTCCTGGATATCTACAGTCCCAGCTACTTGGGAGGCTGAGGCAAGAGGATTGGTTGAGCCCCCAAATTTGAGGTTGCTGTGAGCTATTACATCATAGCACTCTACTAAGGATGAGAAAGTGAGACTCTGTCTGAACAAACTAAAACAAAAAATCAGCCTCCACTTGCAGCTGATACCTTTGTAGGCTTCAGACACAATCTGTGAGGCAGTGGGGTTAGAGGGAGACACAGGTAAACTCTATTCTCTCTCTCCTCCATGCCCTAGATACCACCACCATCAATACAACTTCCGTCTTCTCCTGCCAACCTCACAGCCTCCACGCAATATAGTTTCTGAAAATCTATGCCCGGATGGCTTGAGTCCTATTACAGTGCCTGCTCACACATTCAGTGTGTACATACAGACATAAATATTGCTCAGACTTGATAAATCCTGTCTGTCTCCAAATGACCCTATCTTTGCTCTTGATAGTTTTACTCACAGCACAGGAAAGGCACTGTAAGTGGCATGCCAGTGCCTTGTGTTCTGTTTGCAGTTCATTCAGTTCTTATACACAGGATATGTTTTTAAACTCTACTTGACCTTAAGAGATAAGCCAGAAAATCATGTCTGTTCTGACCCTTAATGTCCCAACACCAGTTACTGTGTGCCCTTGTCATTCAACTTAATACAAGACACCTCAGGCAGCCATTGGCAGTATTTTCACACCAATTCCAGAGTTTAAAAGGGAGGAAAGGGATGAGAAATGAGAGAGACCAAAGACTTCAGTAATAGTAAATGTATTATCTCACACCATTAGCTTTCCTGCCTGAGATAACTTACCGTTGTTATTTAACTGCTTATTTTCTTACTATTCAACTAAGAGGTATTTAAGAGTCAGTGAAACAATCACAAATCATATTGGTAACACTACTTTTCACGTAGGAATGTGTGTTTCACTCACATCACACTTTCTGTGGACTACACAAACTTTGTATTAGAACATAGATATAGATATATTAGATAAATCTATAGATATAGATATATTAGAAAAAATCCTCTTGCTTATGATTTTATAAAACGGTTTTGGGGTAAAAGCTTAAATTTTATGATACATAAATGCATTTTGAGGGGTGTTTTACTTGGTGATAATATTACATTAATATAAAATAACTCTTAGAATACATGATATAATATTTTCTCTTTCTTTTGCAAGTGTTTTTTAAGTGATATTTGCATAATTTTTCTTACATGGAAATTTTACCTTCAGTTTTTAAGGGAAAAACACCTTTAAAAGGACATACTTTTACAAAACAAGATTATATAAAGGGGATGTTCATAGGGAAAAAGTGGGCATTTCCTTTTGGATGCATGATTTACACTTTATTTCCGGTTTAATCTTACTGTTTCTCATTCCACAGATCTTTCAGCAGGCAACTATGAAAGCACTGAGGAGAAAGTCTATTTTGCTAACTGGGTATCTGGAATACCTTCTCATGCATTACTATAGCAAAGATAAAGCACATGCCCAGAAGCCAACTGTGAGCATAATTACGCCGTCCCGTATAGACAACCGGGGCTGCCAGCTAACACTGACATTTTCTGTGTCTAAGACAAATGTTTTCCAAGAACTAGGAAAAAGAGGAGTGGTTGTAAGTATGTCTCTTGCTTTTCCACCAGATTTTCTCTATGGGCTGCGTGTTGGGGATAGAATTTGTATCTTTTGGTTTATTCAGTATCGCATTTGCTTCACACCAAACAGTTCAGGATAAATTAAGTGCCAAGGAAGCCGTCAGCACTGTGCTAGCTGAAGGGACTAGAGGTCTGTCCCTATCTGTCTCCCTTAACAACAAATTTTGGTCACAGGAAATAACTAGTTTGCACGAGTGGAAACTTCAATTATATTTATTGAATGAATGGTATTAAAAAGCATATTGAGTTATTGGAAAAAAAAAAGAAATCAGTCTTATTTAATTGCTTCTTAGAAGTAAGTTATTTTCAACCTTCAGTCACCTTTGTGACTTCAGTCAAAAAAGATATACAGACACCTCTCAGGAGTGGGAACTTTGCAAGAAATATATATATATATTTTACCCCTTGAGCATAGGCAGCCTTCTTACTTGTTTGGATAACTAATGAATTTTAACCGAGTAATTTTAGGAAAAATGTTGCTAACATAGCTGTTTCCCATGGTAATGTAATTTAAGCACTGTTCTACTCGCTGGGACTTCTAAACCTTAAGGAGAGGATACCCCAGACTCTAGAGGAAAAGACAAAATACGAGGATTCTAACTCAGGCTCTCCCATTTCTAGGCTCTGAACTCTTATGAAAGTTCATGAAGATCTATTGGCCTGATATTTTTCCTCTCAAGTATTTTGGGTGTAAAACTACTTACCTTGAAGAGTTGCTATGGAAATCAAATGGGATGGCATACATAAACTACATGCTAAATTGTTAAGCCTATGGGGGGTATTTCTTTTTCTTCTTCCTTTTTTTTTTTTT